ATCCAACACAAATCACATTACCGTTGGTCATATTTGGCTTTAAAGTCATCTCAGAATAATAAAGAAAAATCGATATTGATATTTACCACTGCTATACGCATAGGGAGACTCTACTGATCCGTCTTGCAAGCTGTCCAAGATTTCCCCCTTTCCAACATCGCTGTCTCCAACCAGTAGAAATTTCAGGAGATAATCGTAGCTCTTGACAGGACTACTCTGAGTCCCCATCATCCCACGCATTGGTTCCGCTTTACAGAGAGCCTTTTAAGCTCACCAGGCATCCACTGGAGAAACCAAGCAGTCCCCGAGTGTGGTACCGAAGGGAAGACGACCGCGGCTGGGCTTAGCTAATGAGTTAGCTTGTGCACTACTTACGATTTAAGTTAACTATTACCTTTTACTTCGCACACACTTTGAAAAATGCAGCTATTTCGTTATTCCACTGATTGCAATGGAAAAACAACCCCGCGATTTAGCACTAGAACCCCAATTTAGTTCCTGTTGATGTAACGTCAATATTAACTGATCTAAACAACCACGGGTGCTAGCTGGCTTGTTAGCTAGCCAGCTAACAAAAACGACAGTAACGCATTCTACTACAAACTACAAGTACAAAATAAAAACGACTCTGTTTTGTCCTACATATAAATGTACTCTAATAAAATCAAAAGGCGATTTCTTCCCTTTGTTTATAAAGAAAATACCTACGAGGAGTATTCCACTTTGAAGCAAAACGTACATCCACAGTGTACTGTACTATGTACTATGTTGGAACTTCCTGGTAAGGAACTGCGTCAGCATCATCAACTGCGTCACATCCTAGCACGATTTAAAGTTATAAAATTACAACAACAACAACAACAACAACAAAAATTATACTTTAAATCACCATTTCCTAAATACGATACGGTTATGAATTATCCAAACATGTGGGCTCGTAAAAAGTACGATATGCATCTGTATGAATACTATGAATTAACCGAACATTGGCAACTCCTGCTAAGTTGTAGCCTGTGTTGATTTAGCCAGAAGCTAAATAGAAGCCAGAAGTTAAATGAACACCGTTTCCCTGTATGTAACAATTTGGTTGTGGGTATAATTTAGCTTTCAATTTGGGGAACCACCAACAGACCAACATTAAAAACATAATAAAGAAAAATGGTGTCAAACTGTCAACCAGAAAGAAAATGTGAGAAATGTAATTGAAGGTGTCGCTTTATTTTGACCATGTTTAAATAATAATAAAAAATAAATAAACAAAAAACACAAGCAAACAAAACAAACCATAAGAAAAAAATTATCATCATAAAAAAGATCAAAAAGGATTAGGAAGAAGCATAATTTAACACCACCCACTTTCCACTAAAAAAAGCTGATTATTGCTGGCCACCACTCATTGGTTGGTACTGATTGTCATTTCTAGCAGGTGTGTGAATTCTTTCTGAACTGAAGAATACAAAAGCTGGCTGAAACACTGCTTTATTAGTTGAAGGACCAGCAGTGTGAGGCAGCCATTGGAATTTTAAACTAATAGTAGTAATGGGGCTGATGCATGCTGGGTTTTTATTTCTGCTGTTTTGGTCTGCCTGTTTTCAGTTTATAGATAAAGCTGAGTATGGTGTGTTTGGGCAAGATCCTGAATTAGACCAGGAAAAAATGGAGACAGTGGCAGATGAAGACAAAACAGAAGATTCTGCACCTCAACTCAAGAGGAGTGCATCACATGGAGACCTTTCAACACCTGAAGCATTGAAGTTACCCAAGTATCTCAATGTCCCAGCCTCCTATGACCAAAAGCAGCTTTTCAAGCCAGAAAGAGGAGTCAGGCCCCTTCCTGAATGGGCCAGGAAAATATTGCTTGCTAGTGCTCCTGCTGCTCCTGTAACTGGAGGAGCAGAAATGGGCAGAGACAATGTGGTTGAAATTTTGTGCCATGTGGATAAAATGTACGTAAGAATCAGGAAAAGGGTCTTCAAATCCAGAGATGCATACAAATATTTGAAACTAGGTACATGCCCCGTTAACCAAGAAAATGAGCACTATTACTACTTTCTCTACTCTTTTGTAACTGGCTGTGGATTCAAGAAAGAGGTTGGTGAATGTCCTAATGTATTTGTTTCATATTTTACTGTGACAAACCAAATGGAAATGTTTATGTTCCAGAGTCATGCAGATTACTTGTCCATCAGCAATGTTCTCCGCTTCAGACAAACCACTCCAGTTTTAAGGGAAATGCCATTTGAAATTCCTCTGCAGTGTCGGTTTCCCAGGTAAGACTTTTTTTTTTTTTTAAAGATTGTAAAAGCCTTTCAATCAGCCAAGTGTCCTTAATTTTAAAATTGTCTCCAATTAATTCATTTTAACTATTGCAGGTTCTTTCACTCATACAAAGTTGGCTTCCACCCCAAACTGCGAGGAGGAACAGTTTTCAGAGCACTGAAACAAAAAAGAATGTTCAGCCTCACCCTTGTAGATGGTAAACATTCTAGATTAAATTTAATTGCTGTCCACAATTTGAATTCTTCAAATGGTAGGCCTTAAGTATGTTTTAAAGTAAAGACTTTCAAATATGGCTGGTAACACAAAATATTAAACTCCCAAAGTCTTCTATCAAAGTGGAAAGTAGCATCCAAACCTTTTTTAATTCTTTTTTAATTGAATTTTTTTTTATAGAAAGTACACCACAGACAAGCTTAAGTTCAAGCAAATGTTTATTTCATATACCATAACAGCTGCCTGTCTTTTATTTTGGCATGCAAATGTACACTATGGAGCTACAACAGCATCCATACTGGTGAAAGCTTAGGGAAGGATAAAATGTTCCACAAACATTTTTCAGAACTCATCACAATGCACTCAGTTAGCCAAACATATGCAGCAGCCTGATTTATTTTTGCCTTTTATTGTGCTTTGCCACTTTCACCCTACTAAAGCGTCTGGAAATAATGTCACTGGGACCAAAATCTACACCTTGGGACAGTCGATGTACTTTGAGGCCAGTGTACTTTACACCACAGCAAGCTCTAGAAATAAAAGGCTCTACATCAACAAGTGCTTCATGACCCCTTCCAGCAACCCAGACTCAAATCCTAAATATACAGTCGTTGACAACAATGGGTAATAATTTTACAGTATCATAATTAAAACTGGGGTGACTTGCTGCGAGTGGATAAACCTGTGATCTCCAATTCTAGCTGTATGATTGATGGCAAGGTGATGCTACAGTCAAAGTTCCTTAGTGGTAGCTCGAAGATGGTGCAGAGATTGATTGTGGGAGCTGTCATCTTCAAGGACTCTGCTTCCATGATCTCATCACAGGTAGCCTCAATTGGTTGTATAGAAATGGATGCCATGAAATGCATTATGTAAACACTAAATGCAATGTCTCTTTAGGAACAGTACTTGCACTGTGAGATCTTTATGGGGTCACCTACTCCAACTCGTAATTCGAAGGCTTGTAACTATGATCCAGTGACTGGAAGGTGAGTTGGCTAAACTGAAATTCTACGAGGTGTTACGTTTGTGCTTGCTGTCATCAAATCTTTTGACCCCCGCTTTGTGTTTTAGCTGGAAAGAGCTCTACGGGTATGACACTGTGTGCGCTTGTTGTGAATCAACTTGCTCGCCACCACAGCAAAGGGGTAATTTTTAAATTTACATGAGATGCAATAGCTTTTCACTCAGCTAAGCTTGGCTCATTGCAAGTTGAATGAAGTCTTTTTGATGCAAACTGACAACCAGACAGTCTTGCAGAACACTGAAGGCATGAAAGTGGTCTCACATGTGAGCAAATAAAATTTTAAACTTTTTTTTTTTTTTTTTTTTTTTTTTTTTTTCCCCCTCCACCAGCTTCTAGGAAGATAATCTCAAGTCACTCTTGGATGGTTGACTTGACCAGTGAAGATGAACATGTAAAGTCTGAGCCCAAGATGAAGTCCCGTGATGCTGGCATGTTCAACTTGGATGACCCAGATACAGAAAAACATAAGGACTTCCTAAACAATTGGGACCAATAATTTAATGTTTAAATGATCAGAATTGTTTTAAAAATAGCGGCTTTATTTCTTGAACTCTGCACAGTATGCCATTTATGAATGTACAATTTGTTTACTGTCAACGGTTCAATTGAAAATTAAAACTCTAAATTGCACTGTCGTCAAATGTTCAGTTTGCTCTTTCGGTATATTTTGCGTAATCATCAACCATCATGTATGCGTTTCTAAGCATCTCCTGGAAATGCGTCATAGCGTTCCTGTACATGCAGTTATGTACCACAAGAGGATGGAAGAGATTCACTGGCTTTGCTCTGATTAATTCAGCAGGAAGTTCAATAACCTCAGTTAAAGAACTGCCAATGAGAATGTGTTTCAGTACCTTTTTCTCAAGGCTTCTTTCTATAAAGGATAGCAAGTCTCGTAACCTCGAATCAACACAGTTTGCGTTCCAGTGTCTTGGGTCTGTGGTGAGAAGCAGATGCATTAGGGCCGTTTTGAAATGAAAATCCTTCAGCGCACTACTTCCTGTCATTGCAGTCTGCCTCTTGTGAAGGAAACGTGCAATTTCAAGTGCTTGAATATGACAAGCATTTTCAGGCAGTCGTTTCGAGAGATGTTCTAGGAGATGGTCTTCATAGCTGGTTAAGGATAGTCTCCAGAAAGTATCTGCATCACTTGAGGACCAAGGTGTGATGAAAAAATAAGCATCATTATTAAATGTAACCACAGGATTCATGCTAAAGGTGATCTTCTTGCCTGACTTGAACCTGATCACTAGAGCACCAGGAGCATCAATATAGTGAATATTGAGCTCAAACTCATACTTGTGTGAAATCAGTCTCCATGCTTGTTTTATAGTGCTCTGAAACCATCTGGAGACCAGTGATTTTGACAAGAAAGGAGTGTTCTTTGAGCACAGAAAACCATCACAAACCTCAGTAATTTCTGTCCTTACGTTCTCATTGTGGTCAGAATGCAGCAGGCAAACCATATCCTCATCTGCATCAGAGGTCTGACAGGGGCAATCTTGGGTTTTCTTTTTTTCCAAAAGTTTTATTTGACCGCACACTGGTATATTTGAAATATCCCTCCCTTTGTGGTTACAGAGCTGAATGTGAAAACTAAATGGCTTAGGTGGAGTCAAAGGGACAATGATATTACAGGCACTGAGCATCTGAAAGTCCTCAATCACCATACTGCCATTTTTACCACATATGGTCCTCATAGCATCTAGTAGGTCATTTGCAAATCCTTCCAGAAACTCATCCTTCCTCCACTTCTTTTGAGATGATTCTTGAACGTATTTAGCATAGAAATCGTTAAGTGTGCCGATGTCTGGTAGCTGCACTTCATCAGCAGCGCACGTCACAGGAGAGGCTGCTATTTGTGTCATTTGGGAATTCCTATTCAGGTATTTCCAACAGAAACGGATCATGGAAATCACTGAGAATGTGTTCCAAATGTACCAGAGGTAATCTCTTTCCCATTCTGCAATTGATTTCTCTGAGGTTTCATTTTCTGATGTCTTGACATTTTTAAAAGGTGTGTCTTGTCCTTTGGAACTAGATATTTCCTTCTCAGGTCTTGCATGCTGCCCCTGTGGTTTGCCAGGGTCTCCAAAAGAGCTGTCAGTATGGATATCTTTTCCCTTTAGCTCATTAGCATCTTGTGATGTCTTTAAAGCAGCCTCTGGTTCAGCATTATCATTTTTAGGCACACTTGGATCTGATTTAGCTGTGGATCGGCCCCGTAGTAATTCATGATTGCTGCCATGTCCTTCTGACTCTAAAAGTTTGTCT